TTTGGCACCAGCCTTGAAGATGGGGCCTGCTCACTCTCACATGGCGCATGTGCTATGAAGACTCCTTGGGCATCTCTTTCCCCTCTCCCTGACTCCCCAGTGATCTCTCCGGTAAGGCAGCTTCAGCCAAGTCCTGCGACTCCAGAAAGACAGCTAGGTAAATGCTGGAGTATCTTTTCTAATTTAGCCTCATGTCACTAACCCTCAGTCTGCCACACTGTAGTCAATGGTGTCACTGAGTCAGGGGCAGTGTAATCCCAGTGACTCGGGAGGCTGAGGCAGGAGAATCCCAAATTCCAGGTCAGCCTCAGCAACTTAGTAAGGCCCTGTCTCAATAAATAAAAAGGGCGGGCTGGGGATGTGGCTCAAGTGGTAGCACCTTGAGCTACCTGGCATATGCGAGGCACTGGGTTCGATCCTCAACACCACATAAAAATGAAATAAAGATATTGTTTCCACCTAAAACTAATAAATAAATAAATAAAAAGGGCTGGGGATGTAGTTCAGTGGTAAAGCACCCCTGGGTTTAATCTCCAGTATTAAAAAAAAAAAAATGACTTCACTGAGGCTGACCCCTACACAAGGTGAGGCAAATCTGACTACACCTTCTGTGGTAGGAGTGCCCAAGAGACATTTTAAAATTACTGCACGGAAAGTTGAGAACAGAGCAAAGTATGAATAGACTGGCTGAGCTGACAGCTCCTCTGCTGCCCACTCACATCCAGTCCTGGGCCCTGAACTTGGGCTTGATCCCTGCCAGTCCCAGTCTCCCAGAGGCAAAGCATTGCCTGAACTTCAAATCCCACAGGAGAGTGGTCAGGGGCTGAGCCTGCATCACTCTGAGATCTGAGTCCCAGCTCTACCAAACAGCAAGCTAGGACTTGTTCCCTCAATAGCAGGTCAGGAGTTGTAACAGTTCTCACCTTGAGAATTGTTCTGAGAAAGTGAGCTTCCCATGTTTACCCACAACCACTCTGCACTAAGTGCTCACATGCGACTCTCTGCGCGGACAAGCCTAAACTGGCATAGGCCCACCCCCTGGAAGCTAAGTCCCTGGTGCACATTTTCTGGCAAAGATAGAATGTCTCTGGCAAGGACTAATTTATGTCTGGACAACAGCTGAGTGGAACTCCACACACCATAGCTCTTGGAAACCTTAGTGGCCACCTTCCACCCACTCTGGTCTAGACTGTGGCTTCAGCAGTTCCTGTGGGACCCATACATGACCTGTTGGACGGTGTCCCCTTGCCAGGAGTCTTTTTTTTTTTTCTTTTTTAGCTGTAGAAGGACACAATAACTTTACTTATTTGGTGCTGAGGATCAAACGTAATACCTCACATGTGCTAGACAAGTGTTCTACCACTGAGCCACAACCATAGCAACACAACTTAATTTGTCTCTCATGAATAAATTATGATCATTTCACCTTTCCAGAAAATTGTCATTATCATTAAACTTAAAATTGACTAACAGTAATGCATTTTTAAATTTCTTTTCCTGTTTTTTGTTTAGTTTTGTGTTGCTGGGGACTGAACCCAGGTCCTTGCTCATGCTAGGCAAACGCTCTACCACTGAGGTACACCACTACTCCTTTAATTAAGTTTGACAGGTATTTCTTCTTTTTCATGGTATCAAAATCTTTAGATTCATAATTTTGATTTTGCCCATTTATTTCTGCATTTGCCTTTTATCATTTCTTTCTATCTACTTGTTTTTAATATTTTAAATTCTTTGGTTACATCCCTAGCACATAATGTGTATCTGAAGAGTATATTGAATAAATGAGTGAGTTTTCAAATGCTTGAGGTAGCAGAGGAAATGGAAAAAAGATTGGTTCAAATAATAAAAGTACAATGGTCAGGATGTGATGAATCAAGAGATGGGACAGGCAGGAGTTAAAGATGAATCCCAGCTTGTGGCTCAGGTAAATGACTATATTGGACTGAATGTGCTGGGACTCTGCCCTAGACTCACATGTTGAAGGCCTACCCAAAATGTGGCTATATTTATACCCAGAGCCTTTAAAGAGGTAAAGCTAAATGGATGGGAACATCTAATATGACCAGTATCCTTTTAAAAGAGACATGAAGGATGTGTATGCACAGAGAAAAGACCACATGAGGACCCAAAGAGAAAGCAACCACCTGCTGGCCAAGAGGAGGTGGCTCAGGAGAAGCCAACGCTGCCAACACTCTAATCTTGGACTTTCAGCCTCCAGAACTGTGGAAAAATACATTTGTTATGTAAGCCATAAGAAACTAATAATCTTGGATGATGGGCATCATTTACTGACCATGGTAGGACCAGAAGATGGCAAGTAAAAATGATAATTATTCATGTTGGTAGAATGAGCCAAAGATGGAGATCTGGGTGTTATAAATGGAATTAGAGCTATGGGAATGAATCATACAAGCCATGGAGAAGAAAAATAAGGTCACAGTGTAACCCTAGGAAACATTCCCAACTGGACTTTCTTTAGAGGTGTCCTAAAGAAATTTTAGAATAGGCAGAGAAACCCAGGAAACTCAGGAGATTAGGGCCAGGAAAGCTAAGAACACCTGCAGTGGGCTCACCAGTCCCTCTGCAAACCAAAGACCAAGCCAGAGGGAGGCTGAGCAACTCAGCAAGCTGGAGGTCAATGGGCAAGAAAATGATCTGGAGTTGGCCAGGTACCAGTGAGGCAGAAGCAGAGATAAAGTACAGACAAGTCTCAAGAATCTTGGTCACTGAATGGGAAAAAAGTGGTCATTAGAGGCTGGAAAGACACATCATATTCAGAGAGGGTCTCCTGAAGATGTGAAATTCTTCACCATATCCAGCCACTAGAGACTAAGGGTGCAAGAGTGAAGACTTCTGGAATAAAAGGTGAAATGGATGAAGAGGCAGAGGCATAGGGGGATAAACTGTGCTCACATGGAAGGAGGAGTCTTTTCCACTGTGAAGAACAAGAGATAAGGATGGATGGAGATGAGAAACTGCGAGAGACCCACGTGATATTCTCTAATTTTTCCTATGAAGGAAGTATAATCCTCACTGCAGTGAGAGGAGTGATGGGCTAAGCCACTGTCAGAGACAGTGACAGCTTTGGGGAAAGAGTGAGAGCTCACTGGAGACACATAATGGATGCCTCCCAGCAAAGGCTGGTGAGAGCAAGCCCACAGCAGTACCATCTGCAGCTATGAGGTCTCCTCCAGCAAGGAGGAAAGGTAAGTCACCAAACTGATTCACAGCTGGGGGTGGGGGGATGGGGGAAGTAGGAAATGCAGGGGAAAATAAGGAAAGGATGGGCACAAATAACCCCAGGGAGAGTGTGGCCACCTCACCTTTTCCTTATGGACTTCATCCTTAACCAAGGACAGCAATTCTTATCCCTAATCATTAGACCCAACACTCCATTTTCATAATCAACAGCACCCATGTTTATTGTCCCAAGGTCAAGTCAGTGACAACCTACTTAGCAGACGTAAGTTTAAAGATCAGAGGCCCCAAGGGTAGCATAAAGGAGATGTACGAGGTTTATAATGTGTATTCCAATCCACACATCTCAGGTGAAACTACAAGAACAGACTTTCTGAAGGTGTCAGATGCTCATGGCTCTAGTCCCCAGGGGGCCACAAGTGCATCCAGACTACCGAAGGAGTGCTACCCTTGACAATCAAATACCATTAGTAGAGTGATGGTTCCTTCAGGACCAGTAAAATTCAAACAACTACCACTTTTCCAAAAAAGTGCTTGAAGTCCCAGGCTGTTAGAGCAACTTGACACATAAGAACTGGAATGTTGGTGGGGTTTGCACGACCCGGCACTTCAGAGATGCAGCCCACAGCAGTTCTCTCTTGGTATCTTTGGTCATCCATTAACCCCTGACTCAAAGTTTGAGGAGTCAAGTTTGTGGAGAGGAGAATTGGCAGTGTCTTCCAATTTGGGACATAAGAATAGCCTGTATTGGCTTTGACCACCTCCCTAATATTACACAAGGAGGGCCCATAATGAATAATGACTCTTATCTGAACAAACAGTAAAGAGGAAAAGGGGCTTCAGGAAGCAGAAAGCTCTGGCTTGGGCCAGCTCCAGGCACTTCCCAGGAGCTAATTCTGTTTAATATGGCAGCATCTTCTTCCCTAAGATGTTCCACTGTTGAGGACACTTCTTTTGAATGTTGCACATCTGCACATCTCAGTCCTAAGCTCAGCTGTCGCAGTGTGCAAGGTGAGAAACTGCATGGTTTGGAGGCAAGGTCTTTACTCAAGTCCCAGTGGAGCAATGGACCTTCCAGCTGAACCCTCTGCCCCATATTCTCTGCATCCTTATGAAATGGCTGGGTGAGTCTGGGAAGCAGAGGCTGAGGCATGTGTGTGGTGGGGTGTCCATTAAAAGCAAGACAAGCCTTCAGAAGAACAAGCAGGGAGGGAATACAGTCAGCTGGAAAGTAGACTGTAGATTAGTCTTAACCTAGAATGTCAGCACAAGTCAGGATCTGAGAGTCCTCGTTTTACCACCTATCAGGGCACTTTAAACCTTTGAGTTTCTGCTTCATACGTAAAGTGAAGATGACTGTAATAATACTTACCTTTACCAACCTCAGAAGATTAGGCAGGCAACTCACTACACAGGAAGACACTTTGTAAAGTCCTTTACTAATGTGTCATTACTATCACCATCTTCTCTTCAAGGAAGCAGCTCTGTAGCATGGCACATGTCAAACCATGTTTCTTGATCTACTCACCAATGGGAAAAACAAGGATGAAAGGTAGCTTGCCAACAGTGAGTGTGCAAGTTTGGGGTCCAAAAAGAATAACTGGAAAAACCTATGAGGCTGGAGGATGTACAAAACAAGCCCTTATTAAGGTTTTTGAAAAATGATTCCCTAAACTTTCCCACAACGTGTCCCACTAGTTATAACCTGGAAGGATCTGGTGGTGACATGAGTGTAGGCATAGGCTTCCTCCCCCAGGAATTCTCTATGATCTTAGCAATTAACTTCCAATGAGGATAGGGGATGCAGGGAGTGCCACGTTTATTAATAATAGAACCCCCTTTCCACAAGTATGTGACCAGGGAATCATGAAAGACTCTTTGGGAATTACACTTCTCTCTCTCATTGGGCACAGTGTTGTTCGGGCACACATACCAACATGAAAGAGACATGAGAACACTGCAACATCTGCTGAACATTTTAGGAAAAGGAAAAACCCATTTTTTAACCATGGTAGCATCTCATTTCCCTGAACCACCCGACTCCCCACCTTTCCAGATCTACCAGCTATGGGACCCCACACTCCAGGCACATACATCAAATCTACACTTTTATTTTTGTTGTTGTTGTTGTTCTAAAATGTGCTTTTTCCTCAATGAACTTTAGTATCAGTCCAGGACTTCCACCTCCCTTTATAAAAACAAAACAATACACACACACATACACACATGCCACCCTCCAACCAGGTAAAAAAAATCCCCGGCGATTAGTCTATAACAAATATTGACACAAGGGGAGAAAAAAGTATGTTGAAATGTATTAGAATTAACCTGTACAAAAAAAAAATTAAAATATAACCTGAAACTGTTCAAGTTCAGAAAGTCTAGTCAAGTCCTTTTCTCTGGCCAGGAGTATGCTGTCATCAGAGGGCTCTGGATCACCAGCCAAGGAGGGGAAGGAAGGAAGAGAAGCAGCAGCAACAGTCCTTCACCAGACTAAGGGGCCCCAACACCACCACCCCTGCCACAGGGGCGGCCAAGAAGTGTGGAAGGTCTTGGGAGAACAAGTGCTGGCAGACAGCCCCCGAGAGCAGCTGGGGCCTACACACCAAAACAAAGCTGAGCAGTCAGAGGCAGCAGGAAGAGTGGCCAGCAGAAGACACCAAGCTGGGAGAAACACTTCTGCCACCAGCAGACCCACAGCACCCTCTGTTTGTGCTCAGATACCAGAGGTTAGTCAGTCTAGCACTCCCAAATAACGAGAGATCCAAGCTGGGTTTAAGAGGCTGAAAACCCGAAGGTTTAGTAAACATAGCCCAGCATCACATCCCTCCATGGTTGAACTGGAGCTGCCAACAGGGATAAGGCAGGAGAGGGAAAACAAGCATGTGGGTACCTGGCTAGAGAGCGCCTGCACCATCATGGGGACTGTGGTACATGGGCCTAGAGAAGGAACACCCCCTCCTTGCCCAGAGAGGGGCCTTCTCCGCAGTCATCCCTGTGGGCTGGTTAAAGCTGCCTTCGGCTTATGACCAGCCTGACAAAATGACATGGAGCAAAAGAAAACTGGCAGGGAGACAAGCCCATACAGAGACAAGAACCTCCTGGAGAGAAGTGGGCAGTGTCCACCCTGTTAGGATGGCATCCACGGAGCCCCTGAGTCTGAGGGAACAATAGGAATGAGGGGGTGGGCGGGGAAAGGAGTAATGGTTTTTCTGGAACGGTACCAATGGGTGGGGAGACGCTGGTGAGGGGATGGGCAGGTCTGGAACTCACTGTAGGTAGAGAAGGGAGGAAATAGGCCCTTGGTGTCCCCTCCCCACCTGACCCAGGCCTGGTGAGTGCCAGCTGCCCCAGCCGGTCCTAGTGGCGGCTGGAGACCAGACCTTTCACTTTGGACATCTTCTTGGTAGGCTGCCTCTGCTCAGCATGAGGGGGACACTCCCGCTCAGCAAGTTGCTGCTCCATTTCCTGAGCTGAAGAGGACGCAGTGGCTTTAAGTGTCTTCTTGATGTTGGTAACCTGGAGAGAGACAGAAGTGGATGTGAGCATCTGACATGCACAACAACTTGTTCTCAGTATAGTGAGGCAGAGAAGTCACCAAAAATTGTCTGCAAGAAAATTTCCAATGATCTTCAGAAATCCAGGTGAGAAGAAACAAACAGGGGATGCTTAGGAAGGTAAACAGAAATGAGTCTGGCAAAAATGTGGGACCAGGCCTGGGGATGTATGTATCTCAGTGGTGAAGCACTTGCCTAGTGTGTATAATGAGTTCCATCCCCAGTACTACAGGGGGGGGGGGGAGTGGAACCAATGCTTTCTTGTTTAAAACAAGTAGAAGTAAACCATCTAACAAAGCAGTATGACCCAGAAGGTAAAAGAAATTAATGGTAAAAACACGCTTAGAAAAGAAGGGCAAACCAGGCACAGTGGCACATGCCTATAATGCCAGCAGCTCAGGAGGACTGCAAGTTCAAAGGCAGCCTCAGCAACTTAGCATGGCCCTCAGCAACTTAGTGATACCCTGTCTCAAAATAAAAAATAAGTAAATGAAAGGGCTGGGGATATGGCTCATAGTTAAGTACCCCTAGGTTCAATCCCCAACACAAAAAAAAGAGAAGAGTAATGGAATAATTCTAAACTCACCTAACTACAGGCAATGTATGAAACCAAATATTTCTACAAGTACCTTGGACTCCTCTTGAATAAACAACTAGGGCATGAGTTTCAACCAAATAATTGACAAAAGGAAATTAAGGAAAAGAACTGGCAAGTCTACTGTTTGCAACATACCTTTTTTTCTGTTAACAAAGTAAGGGCTCAAAAATACCCAAGCAACATTTTTCCATGTCAACACATGTCCTCTTGAATATCTGTATACTACTGTGCTGTAAATGTTCTACCATTTAAAATTAGCTCCTTGTTTGTTTTCTGGTGTGGGGATAAATGGCCTTCTACATCTACCCTGCATACTTTGTGAAAATCTGTGGAAGAGATACTCCAGGACATGAGCTTTCTGGATGAAAGGGGTTCCACATTTTCCCAAAATCAGTATTGCTTATCTAAAATGCCCTGAGCCAGAAGTGTTTCAGATTTCAGAGTTTGGCAGATTTTGAAATATTTGCATAGATTTTACCTATGCTCAAAAATTTCCAGATTTTGGAATGTTTCAGATTAGGGATGTTCAACCTATACCTTCTGAAAACTGATGATACCAATCCATGGAGCATGTACTCCAGTGCAGTGCCTGTTTAAACGCCCATCCCCAATACCAGTCCTGATGGCTTTTACATTTTTGCTCTTCAGCTCATTGAAGGGAAGAAAACAGGGCTGGGGGTTGTAGCTCAGTGGTAGAGCACTTGCCTAACAAGTGTGAGATACTGGGTTCGATCCTCAGCATCTACAACTAAAAAACAAATTAAAAAAAAGGAAGAAAACATGAAGGAAAAGCAAGCAGAGAAGGAGGTGCTAGGCAAGAGTTCATTCAAATATAAGCCTTCTTTAAAAAAAAAAAAAAACCCACACATTAGAAGGAAGGAGAAGGATGCTGCAGAGTAAGTGTATCTTTCCTGTTTGATGGTTTCCATATTCTCTGAGAAGCAGTAATTTGGTTTTCTACAGGGCAAGAAGGGAGTAGGCAAATCAAAAATTCAAAACAGTCAGACTATCAGGAGCTTGAGTAAGAAACAGTCCAAATGCAAATACCAAATAATGACTGTGAAAGTGAGAGTAATATTCAGTTCCAGAAGAGGAGCAATCATCTTCAGAGTCAACCAAACTCCACTGTAGGTGGGTATTTGTTGTCACTGTCATTTTGTGAAGTGGAAACAACCAAACCCCAAACTTCTGTTACTCACCATCATCTGAACCTTTCTGCCAGGATAGTTACACAGGACTGTGGGCTGGGACAGGTAATACGGAACAAGGTCTAGGTCAAGTTTGGGTGTATCAGCTGTTCTGCCAGGCCGAACCCCCAACTCAGTAGCCCTACCTCCCTTGGGCTCCCTGCCATTTGGGTGTCTCTGCTTCAGCAGTTACTGGTGGAGCTGGTAAGTGAAAGCATGGGGCAAGCAGGCATACCTCTCTTTCTTAAGAGAAAGATTTGTTATTGCCAGTTTAACTTCTAGGACTATTTTGATGGCCTTGAAGGAGAGATTTAAAAATATGATTTCTCAGGTGTCACTGTTTTATAAAATAACATTCCAATGCTTCTGTAGTTTGATATGCTTTCTAAACATTAGGAGGAATATTAAACTCTTAAGAGGTAATGCATGAATTAAATTTGTTTCTTTGCATGCCAGTCACCTCTGACTTCCACATTGTGAGAAGGTCCTGCAATGACAGTACCTGAGGGTTTATTTTGAGGTTTCCTCAAAAGCTAACAAAATTTTAATCAAGCAAGACGATAGTTTTCTATGTTGATTAAGATGTCTTGAGATTTACTGATAATCTATTAACCCCTACATGAGTTTTAAAAAAAAGTAATCAATTTCCAAATAATGGTTATTTTCAATTACTTTGTACCTGTGTTTCTGTAGCATAAAGTCACTTCAAGTCTATCAAAAATTAATTAGTGCCAGGCTTTGTGGTACACACCTATAAATCCCAGAAACTTGGGAGGTTGAGGCAGGAGGATTCCAAGTTCCAGGCCAGCCTGAACAACCTGACAAGACCCTGCCTCAAAAGAAAAATTGTGGGCTCAGTGGTAGCGCATCCCTGGGTTCAATTCCCAGCACCAGGAAAAGAAAAAAAAAAAAAAAAAAAAAGGTAAAAAGAAAAAGAATATTAACTAGCATCTCTCTTTTCTGAGTGGTCTCAGGGGTCCTGGGCTAGCTCTAGACTATCTGGAGTATCTACAGCTCAGCTGAGCAGTCAGTCCCTGACCTGCCAGCCAGGAGCAAACCTTGTCTGGGCATATTCATTCCCTGAAGCAAGGTTCCCTTGTTGACCTCTGGAACTGCCCCCAGTGTTCTATTTTACTCTTTAAGCTGTACATAGACTTGTTCTTGTCAAAGTTTACTACTTCCAGTGTCATGTCCTCACATAGGAACCCACAGATTCTCACTGCAGCTCCAGAGGAGCCTGCACACAGCCCCTTCTCCTGGCTACACCAGCACCCCTCAGGAGGGTGTCACAGCCACCCCATCACAGGCAACTCAATTCTATTGATTCAAGATCCTGTCAAAACCTTTTGAGCAAGAAACAGAACCAGAGCCACTCTCCCCTTCATTCCAATGCCTGCTTACCTTCAAGCAGCTTTCACTTATGGTTCGTACCCACTTGATAAGCTGCTATCCTGGGTGCTTAGTGACCCTGGAAAGCAAGGGACTTGACTCAGGAGAAAACTTGGTTCTTTCTTTAGTTTTAAACACCACTCAACCACTCAAGATCTGGTACCTTCCTTCCCTGCTCCTCAACACAGACCCTTCACTCCGGCTATATTCACTGTCCCTCCCCACCACACCAACACTCAGAAGCACTCATTTTATCTCCGTCTTTCACGACCCTGCAAGTCCAGCCTGGGCAAAACACCTCCTTAGCTAATCTCCTTACCTGCCTGAAGAGTCAAGTGCCTCTTCCATACAACCTTTCCTGACCACTCCAACCCACACTGACCTGTCTGGAGTTCCCAAGCTGCTTTTGCCTGGCAGTGCTCTCACTCCATCACCTCCTCTAGCACTGGGTCTCCGTGTCTCATGCATACACCTCTCCCTGTACCAACAGGATTACCAACAAATCTAAGTCCTCCACAGTAGTTATCACACAGAAGCAAAATGTAAACACTAAGGGAAAGAAAAGAGGGCTTCTTGGGCAAGTATCTCTATGTGCAAGAAACAAGGCCTGAGAACTCCACAAAGACAACCTCAGGAGGGGGAGTGCTGTGGCCCCCACACTGGGTGCTAGTGTGACAGATGCCTTGCTTGGACATCAGCTGTAGTGCTGGCAATTTTTTTTTTCCCCAAAAAAGTCTTGTGCATGCCAGGCAAGCACTTTGCCAGTCCTACCGTTGGCATTTTAAACATACAGAACTCACGAAAAGGACTGCGAAGGCCAATCACAGACGCTCAGGGTTAAAAGGAATATTAGAGCCTGGTGTAGTGGCACACGCCTATCATCCCAGAGGCTTGGGAGGCTGAGGCAGAAGGACTGCAAGTTCAAAGCCAGCCTAAGCAACTTATTGAGACCTTGTCTCAAAATAAAATAAAAAGGCTTGGGATGTAGCTCAGTGGTAAGAATTTTGCCTAGTACATGCAATGTCCTGTGTTCAATCCCTAGTACCACAAAAATGAAGAAGTAGTCAATTAACTTCTGCCAGGAGCTGGGCAGGCTTAAGCACAGAGCTCCTTCCAGAACTCCAGACTGGACCTGCAGGTAGGTGCACCAGTTACATCTGTTTCAACCTCTTAGACTTTGAGATGTCTAATTCCTCTTCCACAGAACCCATTCAATTGATGACAAATAGCCTCAGACTTGTCTTCTTTGGTCTAAATCTGACCCGACTCTTCCTTATTTTCCTCTTGGAGGAGCCTGGCTTACAGGCCACCCCACCCCACCTACCCACAGATGACCTAGAGTTTGTCGAGCTCTTCAAAACATGGACTTCAGGAATTTCCCAGTTAAGACACCTGCTGGCAAAAACAAAAAACAAAAAACAAAAAATAAATGCAGCCTGGCTCTATTACAGACCTTAAATATTCAGGCAAATGGAGAGAGAAGAGCTTTCTGGGGCAAGAAAACTTCCTTCAGCTGTGGGGGCAAAGCAAAAGCAGACAACAGGAAATAGAACCCACAGTTGGAAAATTGCTATAAAGAAAAGGAGCAGCAGGAGCTGGGTGCAGTAACACACGCCTGTAACCCCAGTGGCTCAGGAGGCCGAGGCAGGAGAAACACAAAGACAAGACTAGCATAAGCAAATTAGTGAAGCCCTAAGAAACTTAGTGAGATCCTGTCTCAAAATTAAAAATATAAAGGGCTGGGAACATGGCTCAATGACAAAGCACTCCTAGGTTCAAACTCCAGTGCCAAAAATAAAAAAAAAGGAGGGAAGCAGGAGATGGGAGACAGCCTATCTAGCAGGTACCCAAGACATACTGTTAGTGCCACTATAACAGTCAGAAAGCTCAAGATTTGTCACTGACTTAGCTCCTGGGGGATTTTCTACATAACTGAAAATAGAGCCTTCTTTAGCTTTATTACCTATATGAATTGAACACAGCCTATTTTGTAAATGTATAACTATAGCTATATATTAACATTTCATAGAACATCAGACATGGGCACATTCAATATAAAGAAAAATCTCTTCTAAAATCAAATGAGAGTTGCTTTGTGAACTTCCTTCCCCTCCAGAGCACTTTCTCAGAAACAATGAACTAGCTCATAATATTACAGTTCTGTACCCCCAGACTTGCTGGAATTATAATTAAATACGTTATTTCTATAAAGAGCTAAAAGGAAAGAATATTTCTTTTTATAATTTTGTAACAGGGCTATCTTCATTCAGAGGGAAGGTGTTCTGGAAGGTCCAACTCACCAGAAGAAAGCTATTGTGAGATTTTGGGGAAAAACATTAAGTTTTGCCCTTTGAGAACAGCAATGGACTTTAAGGACCAATAAAGAAAAGATCACCTGTGCTGTGATTGTAGCTCAGTATAAGAACGCTTGCCTAGCATTTGTGAGGCACTGGTTTCGATTCTCAGCACCACATACAAATAAACTAAAAAAAGGTCCATCAACAACTAAAACAATATTTAAAAAAAAAAAAAAAAAAAAAAAGATTACCCATCCAGTTAAGAAAATGGCTATAAATGGCCAAGGGTAACTGAAGTACAAAAGTAAGCAGAATATAACAGAACTACCTTTGTTTTCTGAAGATCGCTGTTTTCTTTTCAACTCTGAACGTTTGGTAAGCACGTTCCATGTGCCTTAAGCAGGGGATGATCAGCACCTACCCTGGGCTTCAGACCATGAACTAACTGAACAGAAAATAAACAGCCTCTGCAATTCACTCTCTCTTTTCCTATCCATCTGTTCCAAGTTTTCTAGAAGATTATTAAGTCAACAGATCATTTAAAATAGTGATGGAGGTGGCCTTGGTCTTCTCAGATCTCTCTCTCAAACCTAAGTCCTTAGCGCCACCTAGTGGGCACCAAGCTTTACCAGCAGAGGTAGCTGTATTTTCCAAAAATGGGCTACCATGACAAACTTGTTCACTTTTTTTTTTCTTTAAATAACCATGATTAGAAGAGTATACACTATTGAGTAAGAACAGAGCATGGTTCACATTGGCCCAGTGTCAACAACAACTCCATGCTCACTTGCTTTTTTTTTTTTTTTCAGAAAAAGGAAAAAGATTTATTACTTTGCTAGCAAAGAAGAAACACAGGGACTCCTGTCCCAGAGGCTATGATTCTCACACCAGCTTTTCTTCCTTCTGATGCCAGTCACTGAAAGTAACCTTGAACAGTTCAAAATCCTAAAACTAGCATCATTCATCTTTTCAATGACCACAATGATGCCCCTTCCCTACTCACTTTTCACCAGCTGCCACAATCAGCAACAGTCCAGCAACCTGTGCCCCTGCTAGGTTAAAGGCGGTAGGTTTTACCTAGGCTTCCCTAGGACTAGGTCTCCAAACCTTGTTTTCCTCAAAAATTGATTTACAAGGAAAAATAAAAAGAAAGGAAAGTGGTTAGCCTGTCCTAAATTGCTCACATCTCAATCCTAGATCAGACAGGAGGCCATATATTCAAGAGGATGGTTGCCCAGCTTACTAAAGAAGTAGCAGGCTTAATTTCCTAATTGACTTTGCCTTTGCTAATGTTAAATTAGAAGTAATTTATCCTTCCTGGCTAGAAGTAGGATTTAAAAAGTACCATGAACTGAACATCCAGAGTGTATACACATGGGGAGGAGGGTATTTGAAATAAATTAGCACTAGTTCATGAAAGGCCTACTTCAGCAGTCCACTGACACACATATATGGAATACCAGAAACATTCAGTTCAAAATCTGAGTACCTATTGTGGGTGAAGCAGAGAACAAGAGCCGGTTTTATGGAGATAAATAAGCATAGGTTTTCTTTTTAAGGTGTAGAAGACTCTCCAAATTCACAAACCCCTCTGTGAAAAGCATGTCTACTCATTTTTTATGTTCCTGAAACACCTGGAATTCTGAGCCCCACTCTTAAAATACCTGATTTTTAAAACTCATTCAATACCATTGACATTTCAAGCCCCAGCCACACTTAAAAAGGACTTTAATTGCTAAAACAAACCAATACTTTTAATCTTAAGGACTCTGTGCATCATACTGTAGGCACACAAATGCACAGAACACAAAAGTCAGAGCCTGCATCCATGCAAGAGATTGCAAGTGTCCTGGACAATAAGGCATCACTAAAATCCCACTCACATCCTATGTTTTCCTTTCATGCACAGAATTTTTCGCTTTTCTAGTATAAAACATCATGAAATTAAAAATGTTTGTAATATATGTATATAGTTGAGAGAAGAATAACACAAACACTCTGCACCTGCCATACCACTTAGGCAGGACATTACCAGGCCTTGAAGCCTGTACCTCCTCCACAGCTGATAATCACCATCCTTTTAGCTTTCTTCTCCCCAGTGCTGGCTCTTGAACAGGTCCTTGTGCATGCTTGGCAAGCGCTCTACCATTGAGCCACATTTCCCAACTCCTTCTAACAAAAAAAATTTTTTTGGGGGGGGTGGTTATAGATGGACACAATACCTTTACTTTATTTACTGATTTTTATGTGGTGCTGAGGATAGAACACCCTCCAGGGAAGTACTGAGCTACAACACCAGCCTCCTTCTAACCATTTTTAAGATCTATTCCCAAATGTGTTTTCTTCTGCTCTATAGTTGCAAATGCATGTATATCAGAGAATTACAACCTTCTCTGTAATCCAAGTCTGCACACCCTCTACTGACCAAGAATCAGAAGACAGAGAGGATCAAGAGCAGGAGCTGTGTCCCACTATGTTTTCCTATGTTCCAGCAACAAAAACAATGCCTAATTGGGGGGACTGCTTGTTTTGGCCATACCAAGGCTCACACAACAAAAACAAAAACACTACAAAGAACAGCCAGGTTACACCCTAGAGAAGAGCAAACATTCTCTTCTTGCTTACCTCTGCTTCCACCTGCTGCTGAGTCCGGTGGTGGTTCTCTTTGTACTGGTTGGCTCTCAGGACCTGTTGTTCAATGCCCAGCAGAACTGCTTCACAGCCATCACACCTGTAACAGAGAAAACCAGCCCTGAGCTGCAAGAAGGCCCAGAACTCTCCCCTAGCCTCAGGAATCTCTTTCCCAATAAGTCTCCCTAGCACCTTGTAGGACTTCCTTTAACCTCCTCTGCCCTTGCCCCAGATTGTCCAAATAGGAAAGATGGTGATAAATATGGTGGCTTGTGTGTACTTTCTTGGAATACAGCTCTCATATCCAACTTCTATAGACCATGGGAAATGGTTTTACAGACTGTGGACTAAAGAAGGTGAGCAAGACTTGATAGATTACACTAATCACTCTCCACAGGAAAAAAAAAAAAAAAATCCCCAAAAGCATCCTATTTGGGAGATTACTCCTTTCCTCAGAAGCTGAAGTGCCTTTCTAATTGCCTCCTATTGCTCATTGTTATTTTCTCCACTTTCTGTGTTTTGAAATTTTTAAAATAAAAAAAAAATTTTTTGAAAGCATAGCACAATAAATATTCATATCCCCTCCATTTAAGATTTGATATTGAGCCAGACGCAGTGGCACACACATGTAATTCCAGTGCCTTGAGAGGCTGAGGCAGGAACATCATGAGTTCAAAGCCAGCCTCAGCAACAGGGAGGCATTAAGCAACTCGGTGAGACCCAGTCTCTAAAATACAAAATAAGGCTGGGGATGTGACTCAGTGGTTGAGTGCCCCTGAGTTCAATCCCTGGTACAAAAAATAAAATAAAATAAAATTCAATATTGTAAACATTTTGCCATTTTTGTGGGACCTCTCAATGTAGCAATTCTGTTCCAAATTGAATGCCAAACCTCAATAGAAGTTCTAAGAATCTCTCCTGGTGAACACTCTGGGCTAGGAGTCAAGGTACCACATCTTGGCCCAACATACTAGGGGCTTAAAACAGGAAACCAGGCCCTGGTTGTGAAAACCATACCAGCCATATCAAAACTGGACTGGGACAGACAACTTTAGTAGGATCAGAAATCTAGATTTTGTTTCTAGACCATTTTTTTTTTGTGCTGTGGACATTTTATAAGTTTATTCCGATTTAACAGTTTAACAATCTTTGAAAGCTCTTGCTTTTGTCATATGTTGCACAAGGAAGGAGTTTGGGGCCACACTTGGGACAGAACATAATGTGAGGAGTGGGAAGCACATGCCTGAGGTTTAAGAGTAGTGTCAATGAGGGAAACTGG